TCAAACTTACACACAGCTCCTGGAATGTACATAGTATTTAGCAAATTTTTAACTAAGTTTTCTTAGTAATTGTACAGTTTTCCCTTGACAAGCAGAAGATCAGACTTTTTCAGAAGGATTACTTCTGCTCAACTCATTTCAAGCTGCTCTTGAATAAAATAGTTCATTAGTTCATGAAAAGGAAAAACTCCAGGGAACTGCTGGGGAAGGAAGAGAAAAGAACAGAGTGCCACAGTAATTAGGTTTTCAGATTGTCCCTTATCCTCCAGAATGCAGGTACACATACACATGTCCCTCTTCCCCTTAGGTAAAGCATTTAGGGGAGCTCATTGCATGTTTTCCCTGGGAATCGGTGTTCAAGAGATTAAAGTTATAACCATACCATCATTTCCCAGAAAGATATTAAAAGATACCACCTCCTCACAGCACATTTCTCCTGATAGCCCGTAGTGAAAGGGCAATTCTCTCCCCTTTCCAAGCATTTAAATACCTTAGTTTCAGACTTCCTCAGAATTCAGTTTCCTGACCTTTTTAGGCTCTCATGGCTGACGCTGGAAACCCAAAGGATCTCCACTCACTAGGAATCACTTATGCCTGCCCAGGTGTCTGGGCAGCCTGGGGGCAGCAGACTGCCCTTTTTAGGACTGTGGAAAGAATTGGCCCTGAGCAAGGATAGGAAGTGGGGAGAGGGGGTTGCAATTGTTCACTAGCAATTGCTGACCACAGGACAACCTCTTTTGACCTAGACCTAGGCCAGTAGAGTTCAGGGCATTGCAGGGCCGTACCAATTCACAGGAGGCCAGTTCATCACCAGGACTGACAGCCCCACACAGTTTCTTTCTGGCTTTACACCATGTGGCTCACAGGGAGCATGGTTCACAGCAGCACAGCTTTCACACTCTTCTCCAGTTGTTCCTTCTGTCTGCTCTGCACGTAAACCAAAAGCATTCAGGTAGTCCGTAGGTCTCCAGCCAGATCGACTAAACTGCCAACTGAGATGCCAATGAATAAAGTTCTGGTGACACTTCTCTGTCACCCTCTCACTTCAAATGGGCTTGAGACTGCCAAGAAACCGCTGACCATCATCAGATCACTACTTGCCTGGCATGGATTAGTGACCTTGAATTATGCATTCACACCAGACAATATGACTGGAAAAATCAGGGGATTCCGGAAGAGTGTGTTTTAGCCTCTGTGAACTTTCAAATCCTCCTTGTTAAAGGGTGCATATTTTGAAAACTGGATTTTTCCACAGATCCGTTGCGATTTTCAAAAAATAATGTTTTGCACTATCCTTAAATTGTTACATTCCAGCTGTTGTTATTACTATGTGTTACAAATTAAATTCTGGCTTTTTATCTGCTGAGGGGGCTTTCAACCCACAGTTTTAGAAAGGAGTCTCAATTTTGAGTGCCGTGATATCTAGATATCATCATTTAAAACAGACTGGTAGGTTAAGAACTGAGCTATAACATGATAGAACAACTCTTACATGATTTGCATATCAGATTATTAAATGAAAATCTATCAAACTATCATTCATTGAAGTAAACAAACAGTCTATCTATCTGCCCTGTTTCTGGAAACATTTTGCCTCAGGGAAAAATTTAAACCTGTGCAGATAATCAGGATAAGGTATTTGAACATTGAAATCCTGCTGGAGCCTTCAAAGTAGGTGTTAAGTGGTGCATTAAATTTGTGCTGTTTCTTCTGAGCAGGGTGAATTTGCTCTTCTGTAAACAGTAGGAAAAGCATTTTACGATAATTTGAATCCATGAATAAATATAATATATTAAAATTTCTAAAGTACAACCACTAAATGTTTTTGTACATAAGCCAAATGAGTGGAATATCCAGGACTGAAATTATTTGACTGACCACAGAAAGATAGTATATAATTAAAATGACATCTGCAGCACTAACTGATGGGATGAGAGAAAGTGACATCACAGATCTCATATAAGCTGCAAGCATATTATTAGATCTAAACCTGGCTGTAAAATTACTATCTGCCCATGGGATTATCTTTAGGCATTCAGAAGCATTGTTTCATTTACTGATAGAACAGGGATGATAACAGGCTGACTTTGCTTGTCACATTGGTTTTTGGCCTTTCTTTATTCTTTGTTCATGTTAGCTGCAGATGAAACGAAGACAAGCTTCAGCTGAATCACTTTCATGGAGCTTTTCATTGTTCTACAGCTTTTCTTTTTTTTTTCTCCCCCCCCCAAAAAAGCACTTTTAATGGTAATAAAACCAATGAGGAGTAAACGATGTACACAATGTAACATCTAGGAATGCAGCAACCTCATGAGTACCCATTGGCCTAATGCAGCACGGGGAGGGGGGGGACCAAAAGACATTGCTCATAGCTCTGGTTACTAGCACAAAGAATGAGTAGCTACCAGCTGTATCTTGGCCTCATTAAAATTCCATGCTAAAACTCTGACTGACTTCAGTGGGTACATTTCCTCATTTGAGACGTAGGACACAGGACATAATACTCCATTAAAGGTAGGGCTATCTGGGATACCTAAGCTTTACAAATTACATTTCTGCATTAAATTGGACGCAGCTGCATTTTGCTCTGTTTCACACACCATTTTTATGTTCCTGGCAAATTATTAAGTTGCCTATCCTTGTAACACAACTCGTGTCCACCAACCAACCTCAAATAGTCAAAGTTCTAAAAGCATGTTACAAGACAGGCAGTGAAAAGGGAGGAAGAAGGAAGTTCCAAACTTTCCAGTTGATTTTGAAAGTCATGCTAATGATCCTGAACTGCAAAGGGGACTTAATGCATGCTAAGAAATCTGGTCCTAAGTGTCTAACTCCCAGCGTTCGAAATAGCTCCCATACGCCAATTTTGCAAACTAGGCAGAAGTCCAGGAGCAGGCAGGACCACAGCCAGTCATGGACTTGCACACACACTGTTAAGCAAACATGGACCTTGTACTTTCCTCCACACTGCCCTGATAATGGGTAGCTATGGACATGTGTTATCTCTTATGGTACCTCCCAACTTCCCTTCCAATATAACCTTAAACCTCTTCCATCAGTCACTGAAACCTGCAAACAGGCTGCATAAGCAGAGGTTTACGGTTAACAAATGATTTGCTAATAATGCATACCCATTAGTTTGCATATTTCAGGTAGAATTTACTACCTTTCTCTTTAGCCATCTCAGTATCAAAATAAACCTCTTACACTACAGTCATGTTTTCCTTTGTGTTTTCTCCTAACCATACACACCTGCTGCCCTTCACCTCAGTATGCAGCTTGAGGGAGTGACCACCTATAGTATAGTGAAGGATTTAGCCCATGATCAATGGCCTCAGTGCTACTGCCTCAGAAATTGCATACATTGTATTTCATTAATAGTAGATAATATATTAACTCCTTTAAATCTACATTAGATTGTTCCATTGTCCCTTTTATCCTTTTGTAATTGGTACACAGAATAACTTTTCATGCAAACCCTTTGGTATGAATCTTTGATTCAAAACTCTCCATATATACATCCACACCTGTATGCCCTTAAAAGTTCACACTGGATCTGTGCACTAGAAATGAGGTGTCTACAAGCAGTTTAGATACACCATCCCTGTTAGAAAATATTCCTCCAGCATTCAGCCTGAGCCAGGAACCATGTTTATAAATTATGAATTGTTTGTGGCTGATCAGTGATGCTTACAATCTTTTGGATGTAAAGAAGGATAGAGACAAAGACCTAAAGACTGATGGGGCAAAGACTCATAAAGGTGTGCTGGAAGAAAGATAAGAAACATGTAGCAATAAAGTGCAACAAATACAAAAGTGAGACTTCACTGCAGAAAAAGTCAAGGAAAAGAATAGCAAAATCTTTGAAAATTAATTTCATTTTCAGATGCGTCCTGGATGTAATATAGGGTAAACTAAAATACACTTTTTCCTGAAAGGTGAAAGCTGTGAGGCTAAGCTGTGAGAAAAAGTTGGGAGGATCTGTTCTCACCTGTGCTCTTACCCCCATCAGAATTGCTCTTCACCTCAAAGTGGTAAGAAACATATCTTATATTTCAACATTAACAGCTTCTTAACGAGTATGTTGTGGCATGTTTCATGTCAATTGATATGCAGAGCTTGTCTCAGTTACCTTTAAAATGTAATTCTCATTGATATTCTTTGTTTCTCACTACACATCCATAATTAAGTGGTTAACTTATTTTTAGGGATAAAATGTGCAGTGTGCAGTGAAGAATGGTATAAAATAACAAGTAGACCTGAAGAACTTTTGCATCACAGAACTGAAGCACATGACTGTGCTCCAAATGCTTCGTGTATCAAAAAGAGACTTTCATAATAGCGCATATGCCTTCAGATACTTCACAAAACAGTGATTAAACCAAAACAAAATGGAACTACTTACATCCAGACAAAAGAAATACACGGTTAACAAATGATTTGCTAATAATGCATACCCATTAGTTTGCATATTTCAGGTAGAATTTACTACCTTTCTCTTTAGCCATCTCAGTATCAAAAGTCTGCTCCTAACCAGACATTCAGGTTCTTTCCATTTTCAAAAGCAGTAGGAACTGTCACAGGACTATCTGAAACCTGCCTCAGCTCCTAGGTAATGACTGGGTTGATACACTCAGTGGGTGCTCCCTTTTCTCTGGTTGTTAAGAAAGAGTGGCACAGACAAAACACCTTACTTTAAGATGAGAAAAAAATCTACAGGATGAATCCTTTCTTTGGGGTCTAGAAACTGGGTTGAAAAGTCATCCCAAATGATACTAAGAGAAGCAATCTTCCTTGTAATGTATTAACAGCTCTGCATCAACACCAAGACTGGTTGATGGTACACAAAGCTAAAAATGAATACATGAATAAAATCTTCACTAAATTGCTTTGAATGTTGAAACAGTCCGAGTTTGCTTTTTCAATGGAGGCTTATGCCGCTTCCAGTTTTTCCTCAATACATTTGCTTATCCTTGTATTTATCACAGAAATAGCCTTACCTCAGATGCATCTTGCTGGTATCTGAAGACAATTGCATTTTTTATGGTTTGAATAAAAAATCCATTCAGTTCCTTTTGTTTCTTGTTTGGCAAAATCCGAAGCAATGGGATCATTATGAATGGGAAAGAAACTGTAAGACATTTTAAAGAAGGAAACACTGAATCAGACTGTAAAGGCATAAAATATCCCCCTTCTTTCATTAATATTATAAAACTCTTCAAGCGAGATGTGTTACTTTCGTGAAACCCACTTTTTCCTCTCTGTCCTTCTCCCTCTTTCTTCCACCCCACTAGGTTGGTAAAGGATTTCCTTTTAGAAATTCCATGTTGGCTGGATCTCCCCTGCCAGACAGATGCCTTCCAAGCTTGCTTTCACAATGCTTCAGGATTTCAGTTCAGCTGCTTGATGCCACCGAGCCACCACAACAATGGGGAAAATTATTTTCCCTGCTACTCAGTTACATAAAGAAGGTGAAGGATCTTGAACTAGCCTATCAGCTTATGACACAGATCCATGAAATAGTGTAGTGGTGACTCTCACGGTTTACCAATATTAGGGTATTGCTTTGCCATTTATTTTGCTTCTCTAAACAGGCTGCAGATCCTGGAAGCAGGATGTTATCACAAGGACAGTTTCCAGTCCATGGCCTTTATAATCAGGAACTGGAAACCTGCATGAAGTCTTGCATCTAAGTAAACCCCTTGTTAACTTATGAACAGTTTAAAAGTAACAAAACCAGAAAACCCCTGTGCTGCCAACAGATTTTGCCAGTAGAAAGAGATCAGCCAAGGAATCCAACCCCAAACCCTAGAGAAACTTGCTTTAATAAAGGACATGATCTTAGACAGACAGAGGCACATTTTTGTCCCTTCAGAAATTAGTCATAAATTACACTTTTCAATCAGGTTAAACATTAACCCCAGGACATTTTGGATACACAACTCCAGAAGGAAACAGTTCATGTACTGCTAGTACATATGCAATCTGTAATGCCAGCAGGATCAGATGGGCACAGGAAACTTTGCCACTCTGCCACCTGACGCTACTGTGTGCAGGTCTAGATCGCAAGACAATAAAACCTCAACAATCTTGATTGTGGCGTGACTTCCTCAGCTATAATTCTTACTGCCCTTGCATTAACAAGGCCACCATCACCATAAAGCCTTAGCTTTCATGCCCTAGAACTAAATGGCTTTACACCCTAATTCTTGCATTCCCTATCTATTCACCTGAAAATAAATGCATTCTCTTAATGATAGCTTGTGCTGGCACTTAGCATCTTTACCCTTTATAGCCATCAACCAGGCTGCTGCTGCTGCTATTCATAGAATAATTTAGAGGACTTACACTATCTGCTTATGCTCCTTCACCCCTCTTCTTTACCTGGGTTATTAGCCCACTGTTGCTTATGGGTGGGATTTCAATCTATATGAAACAGACCAAGAGCACAAAAACTCTATTTCTAGGCTCCAAAGGGCAGATACTCTGTTTTAACGCAGAAGTGTATTAAAAGAGATATTTTAGAAACTACAGGTCCCAGAAACCTTCTGCTCAGACCAACCTGGAGCATTGCCTTCCCAGACTCCCAGTTTCTGGAGGAAGTTGCATTAATGGTGACAAGAGTAGACCATATGGTGGAAATCTCGAGGGTATACTTGGCCTGTAGGTTGCATTCTGAACACCTTTGAAATAAAGTCTGCTATATATCTTCCTGCTCTGGCTCCAGCATGTGTTGCAATTTGAGAATGACTTTTAGAAAATTACCATAAAGAAGTAGACAAGGGTAGACTATACTCACGGATTAGAATGAGGAGAGGCTTAAACAAAGACATTTCAAAGAATGTTCTGCAATTCTTAACAAACGGGTCATCAGGATTCTTCTGAGAATCCACCTCAGTACCAAAAGCTACACTACCAACGACATCCAAGGTAAAGCAGTTGTAACACCTGCATGGAGTTGAAGAATGATAAGTCATTAGCCACAAATTAGATATCCATTAATATCTTGCTTCTACAAACATCACGTAACATTAATTTTTGCCTCTGATTTTTCTTTTTGCATGTAATTTGAACTTTGCCAACAAGAGATGTTTCCATCATTCTTAAAAATTATGGTGCTTAATAATGATCACCTTCTCTCTTTCTACAAAGTGCACATACTTTTATAGAGTGTAATAATTCCACTAAAATTATTAAAGAGTTTCATTTGTTATTACCTAGAAATCTAATGCAACAGTCATCGTCAGAGATTCATAAGTATTTTCTTAGTACGCACCCTCACAAAAGAGATCATTTCTTTTCCATTTTAAATTGCAGGAACTGTATCTATGACCAATCCAGTCTAAACTCTCAGTGACAAGAGATGCTTTAAGTAAAATTTGCTACTAAAAATTTCCTTCATCTTTTTGATAGCTCCTTTGTAATGGAAAATCGTGGTGAAAAACAAGAGGAACTGACACCACGTGAAATCTGTGTCTCTACAGAGGAGCAGCAAATGCTTTAAGATATACAAATTATCTGTGGACCATTATCTAGAAACTTCAGAACTTACTGAATCTCTCCATGCATATCTGACCATCTATCCAGTTATCTCACCATCTTTATTTCTACTGGACATTATCAGCTACATTTAGTTTTGAGATAAATGGACTGTGAATGTAAAATATCCTTGAAATCTGATTTTTCTGATCTGTAGTCAAGTCTCCAATGCCTGTTTTTCTGTGTTTCCTTACAAAAGGTTAATGTCAAATTCTCTGGTGTTTTAACCGGAGGTGCACACATACTATGAGAAGGACAGGACTCAGGCCCAGTATATCCTGTATACTCATTGTGAAGCAGCATTTCTAAACTGTGATCTTTGGGCATTGTCATTCTGATGGCAGTGGAGCAGATATGGAAGGTAACAACAATATTGCAAAGCTAAGTATCTCCTTTTCAAGTGAGTTTTCAACTCTTACACACACACGAAAAGCATTATTAGAAGCTGAAATGTTAAAAGAGGGGACACTGCAATAAAACAACAATTTTGGAAGCACTTGATCATCTGCCTCTCCAAGGTACTGAAAAAGCTTAAAACCTAAATTTTGAGTTTCTGGCAAAACACAAAATGGCTAAAGACAACTAACGTACAAGATGACAGGAGGTTGCAGGTAAGGTATTTACCTCCAAAAAATGGCTCCCCAGGCAATTCTGGGAAACTGCAGTCCAATGAGAATCACATTTATATATGTCAAACCTGCTGAAATGATAGTATGATAAAACAACCGGAAGATCATATTCTGAGATGGTCAACATCATTCATTTATACTTTCAAAAGGTCTTTCCAAAGTGCCTCTTGAGAGGTGAAACCCTATCACGGATCAATAGCTAAAAGACCAGGCAAAGACAAAGGACAAATGGACAAAAAGAAAAGCCTGGAAGGACTCAAAAGGTCAATTTTCATCAGAGCACCAGGCTAAGGGAAATGTCTTAAGGTTTCATTGGATCTCTTCAGCTGTTTAATAAAGAGATCTCTTTGTCACACATAGACTCGTGTGCATACGTACGCAGGTACTTGAAAATAAATGGGTAAACTGTGGCTAAACATGCATTTGTTTAGATGAAAAAATTATTTGCACTGCTCCAGCTTGGGGGAAATCAGAAAGAACTTCAGAGGGCGCTGACCAAACCCAGCAAATTAAGCATACGCAAAACAGCACCTGTGAGAAAGAACGCATCTGAACTACTCATATGCCATACAGGGTCCTAGAAGAAATGCATCTGCTCAGAGAAGGAACTAGACAGTGTTGTGAACGGTTCAGTGAAGACATCTGATGAAAGAGCAACAAAAAATGATAGTAGGATATTAAATGCATAACAAATGGGAAAAAGCACAGTATGGAAAATATTAAAGTGCCATTTTATAAATCAATGGTGCATTCTCATCTGGAGTACCGATCCCATTGTTTCACAAAAGGCTAGCGTGCCATTAGAGGAGGTTAGGAAAAATGTGGTAAGAATGATTAAGTGCCCAAAAAACCTCATATAAAAAAAGCAAGAGGGTGATGGACTGGAGGCATTTGATACTAGATCAAATCCTATATTTGTACATTATTGGCAGACTGTAGAAAGCAGACTGGACAGGGACTGATGCAGCTTTCCTTTCTGTTTCCAGCTGTTAAAACTTCATTAAACAACAGTCAGAAATACATTAGATGCTTTTCCAAAATTACTTTTCAAGTATGCAGTGGCTGCCCCCAGGAAGAAAAGGCATCTATCAAACACATCCCCTATTAAACTATGATCTCCACTCATAAAAGTGAGGAAGGGGGGAAAAGAATCTTTTGTACAGTAAGTGCATATTTAGAATAACTGCAGCTATTGACTTCTTTTTTCCCCCTCCATTTTTTTCTTTTTTTTTTTTTTTTTAAATCTGCTACTAATTTCTGGCATGTTGAACATACCTCTGGATATCAAAAGCTTTGCCAGAATCTGCATAGGCTTTCAAGTTACACAGCAGGACGTCACAGGCCTTGTTTATTAGCGGTGTCATCTAGAAAGGAACACATTTCATTGTGAAAAATATTAAAATGGTAAAAAAAATAATAAATCAGTTATTCTAAATTAGTTTTATCCAGTGGGTGGGATAGAGCTCTCAGGATCCTCTGCAGGTCTGCTTACACGCTTTTGCACAGGTAAGATGAAATGTTGGGCCTGTCTGCTAAAAATAAACCTACACATTGCGGGGATGCCCTTCTCCAGCTCTAGTCTTAAGTAGGAGAAGCCCTGTCACTTACCTGGCCTTTGGTACTTGCCCACCTCTGGCTATAGACGAAAAGAGCTATCAAGCAAAACCATCCCCCTCTCTTTTTAATCATTTTCTCTGACACCTGATGATTTATTACAATCCATATTTACAGTATGTTACATTTAGGTTACATATGCTCCAGGACAGAAGGAATAATATTTTCCATAGTCTCAAAGTCCTGTAAGGATATTAGCATCGGAAGATCAGAGGCCTAGCATTTCCATCCTGCTGTCCCACCCTTTTGAGAGATGTACATTAGAAAAACACCATGTATACCACTACAAGTTGCTGAGGGCAAACTGCTATTGCTATCTGAGGAAAAGGCTTTCTGGAGTTGTGATGACATTAAATGGACATTAACATTCATTTATTCAGCTAATGGTTTTTTCCAGTCACTGACACATGATGGTCAGGTACACTTAACCACATGTTAGCTCGGGTGTAGCTAACAGTGCAATAGTCTCCTCTTCAGTGCTTCATGGAAACCATGACGTAGGTTGTCATGATCATCAAGACCTCATTAAGGTCTGTCTCTCTCTTTTTCCTGAACTTCTTATGTCTGAAAGACATCAGGCACTTGCCTTGAATACACCTACTAGGCGGGCAGAGGCAGGATGACCCTAACAGCATCATCTGCTATGGCTCTTTCTCCATACTGCCAAGAGATCCTTATTGCCTACAATTTATTACCACTCAACAGTTATGCCAAACATCAGCAGACGTAGGCACCATAAACCTACCTTTCTTCCCTGAACAACCTCCTTCAGCATATGGGTGTCAACAAGAATGAGAACATACTTGTGCTGCTCCTCTGACATTCTTGTTACCAAAAAAGACTTACTGCAGCCTCTCAGCACACTAAGAGCTATGCAGCCTGCCCAGCCAAGTCCATTTTGCTTGGCACTTGTACCTCTGTGAAACTGGCATAACACTTTGTGCACAGGCACGCAGCCATCCTAACACATGGGCAAGACTACACACAGTCAAAAGGCCAAAGCGAGAGCATCCAGCATGTTTTCCAAATGCAGAAGTCTGAGTCAAGAATGTGTCTAGCTGCTCTCAATGTCCCATACCTGTATGGGATGGAGCAGGTTGTTCTATTTCAGTTCAAAGCTGGATTGATTTGGGCTTTGTCTCACAAGACAATTCTGAAAATAGATTAATATTTGGTAAAAGTAGCTGTTATGTGTTAGGGAGGTACACACCACATTAAGTGTCAGTTTTCTTCCCCATTTGGCTTTCTAAAGAAGATCCCCTGCAGTGAGCTTCTCCTCAAATTGTTCAGCAAAATTAACACATTTCTGTTCAGCAGATTGAGCCAGGCTGAAATACTTTATAAGCTCTGGGTTCAGCCCCTCCAATGAACTGAACTAGTCAAGGATAACAAAATGAAAATCAATATTTTAACAGGTATGATGTTTCCTAAACAGATTTTGGATTTCCTAAAAATCATTTCAGATTTTCCTTTTACTGCCTTATTTTCTCTTTTATTCTTCAACACATCACCAGACCTGCAACCACACAGCTGGTTGCTATTGCTTTCCAACAGCTGGCAGAGATGGCAGGGGCACATACACCTGGCCAGGGCAACTCACAGTACTTCTGCACTTTCCACATTCCACCAGCCTTTCAAATACTTTCACAATTCATTTTTAGCAATAAGAGGTTTTCATTAGTAAATCTAACCAGGAAAATGGGGAAGGGGGCACATGGATTTGATTTATTGTTAGCATGATATGACAGAGTCATATCAATGAGACAATCATTTGCACGTGAAAGCTACAGGGGATATCCACTCAGGAATCCTGGATTTGGGTTTGGGTTTTTATTCCCCTGAGAGACATAAATTAGTCCAAGACTGCTAACTACAAAGATCACAGATTGAAACATTCTCAAGTCCCTTAATACTTTAAAGTCTTTGTTCAATTGTCAAGAAAAATAAAGTAATGTTGGGGGTGATGAACTATACTAAACTTTGAAAACCAGCACAGAAATAGGCTTGTAGACCTGCACTACCTTGGGTATTGCCAACTTCCTATACATTCTCATTTGCCAGTCAGAACATAAAAGCTGCATAACCTGCCTGAAATTCAGTTCTTGGTGGGTAAACAAACCCCAGCTGCTCTGTGCTCAGATTGGCTGAGAGTAACAGGATGAAGAAAAATCTAAACAATATGGTCCCTGTAAATATTTGATCTGCCAGTTATCTAATAGCAAGAGTAGCTCAGAGTCCAAATTTCTTTCTTCTGCCAAAGAAGAGCATTTGGGGTTAGGGTTTTCATGATGCCAGGGGCTTTGCTATATAAATCCTGCCAATATGCTATTTGGCACATAACAACAATTAGTTTTTGATTCTGCATACGCACAGTGCATGGGGATGTTTGCACTGTTCAAACGCATCAGAGTCACGTTCCTCTAGTTAGATGTAGTCTTTAGTATTCACTATTGTTATTCCCCTTATTATTAGCACCCAAACTAGGAAGTAGACAGACACACTGGAGATTTTACTGTTCATGTGCAGTACGCAGAAGTTGTGTTGGGTCTCTTGTCCCACAGATGGGACGAAACATGAAGGAAGGAGAATCAAAAAAGGATGTATCCCTAACACAAGAATTGCTTTAAGTCCCTGACTAAAATCAGAAAAAGATCAGAATGTCAGGATGATGTTTGTGAAAGGATTTGTTTCCATCACCGCACAGGGGGGCCCTGCAATTCATGGGCACAACTTAGCAAAGTGAGCAACTCAGACACTGGCTTGTGGCTCAAGGACATGCACGTTTCACATATCAGCGTTTACATTGGTGTTTTGCTTTGTCTCAGGTGAGCACACTTGCTCTGCTGAGTAACAATAGTGATTTCCAGAGACTCTTCCAAAATGCCTCTGACCAATGTGCACAAGCAGAGTAAGTGCAAATCAAGGAAACTTCAATGGTTGGACTGTCAGATCTTACATCCTAGTGGGACCTGGATAATCTACATGCCTGAGAGTGACACTGGAGGATTCTCCCACACTGTTCTGCCATGTTAGCACAAATTCAGCTTTGTGCCTCCCTTTCTTTGAAAGAAAATGCCTCACACAAACTCCACTTCACAGGTTATTTAGAACAATGCTACATTATGCTGTGCTCTCTAATTTTTGTGTTCTGTTTTGTTTTAATGGTTGGTTAATGGAGGAGAGGATTCCCAGCATACTGATAGGAGATGACAAGACTACTGCAGCACCATCAGAATAAATAAAAATCAATAGGTTTTCTGCTGGTGTTGGCTGTAAAAGAGAGCAAAGCTATTTATCAAGTCTGACAAGGGGTCCAGAACTGCAGGATCATCACAGGCACCACAGCAAAAGGAAGAGGAAAAATATAAGAAAAACTAAATAGGGAATCAAGTTTGGTACAGCAAGGTTACTAACATATCAACTTGTTTCAATACATAATAGCCAAGGAGAGCATGACAGGAACACCAGGAAATGCAACTTCTACTTAAGGGCCTCCAGGTATTTTACTTCACCAGTTCCTTACGACTTACATCTTGGATCAACTTCTAGTTGTTGATATTATTCCCACTGAACAGATGAAAGTTGTTTCATGTACAGAGAATTTAAATAGTTTCTGCCAGATCATGTATGGGCAGTCAATGGCAGAGCTGGAAGTGAAACTTCTTGGGTCTCCTGCCTCCTGTCTCTCACTTCTAATTCTTAGTGCTCCCATAGCAATGGCACTATGAGGTTCACTCAGGGGTCTTACTGAAAAGGGCTTACAATCAGATCTGCTACCAACTCCAGTGGCATCTCATGTGAGATGCTACCAAATCTTACTGCAGGATCAAACTTATTCTGTCTAACGATTTATGCTCTGCTCACCACTACAACATTTGATTTTAATGTTATCTGAAGCCAAACTTTCTTTCAGTTGGAGTGGACTGCTTTACTAATCTTTAGAAAAGGAAATTAAAAAGGGAGAACACACAATGTATAGAAATCTACAAAAGCAACAATGAAACAGTACACAGCTTTTAAAGAGAAACTGAAGAGACAGAACTGGAGATGCCAGAAAACAACTCTCTGCTTACACACAGCAATCACTATACTGGCTACCCAACAGCTCTATAACCTCCACTTTCAGTTAACTGTTCATAACTTCGTAAACTTCAAAATTTCTGGGATTAACTTTTCCTCATTTGGTGACTGTCTTTTGGAGATTTTTCCCAAACTAAGGGGAAATTCCCCAACCTCAGTGACACTACACCACTTCCACTCTGTATACCACTACACCACTTCACCCAGTGACAAGGGCAAAGTACACCTCTGCCCCAGCCTCAGCAGCTTCATGAGTCTGTTGGGGCACTGCAGGTCAAACCTTACCAACATACATTAGCTCTGCTTTGGGTCTTGTTGCCCACCAGCCAGGCCAAAGAGTGGATGACTGGCCTCTTGTTTTTGCTAGTGCTGAAGCTGTCCTTCAGCCTACGAGTAGATTCTTGTGTTTCTGAAATGGAGACATCAGGAACCTACACTCCCCTCAGTGCATCTTTTATCTGAAGTGATTGCTATGGGGAGCATAAAGAGTTGTTAACATTTATTGCTCTGTCACAGGCTAATAGCTCCCAGTTTTCTCAGAGCATCCAGACAGAAAAGTCTGTGTTTGGAGTGGTAATAAGGACTGAAGTGCCAAAAGCAACTACTCTCCAAAGCCATTTGGGAGGTCTGCAGTCTCTCCAGCATCACTGGAGAGTTTGCATAGGGAAGGCAGACATCCAGAGTGAACAGAGAGGAAGACTTTGGTGTGAGGTTCCATCAGAACTCGGATCTCCATGGCAAAGGAATCAATGTCTTCGGAGAAGGAAGGAGGACTGTATCTAGCAGTATTTATAAATATACATAAAACAACACATCCAGGTTCTTATGCAATGATTCATACCGAAACTAGCTTATTTGTAACTCCTTTGAGGTAGAGAGGAAGAGTTTATTATAAACAGGATGTCTTCTACATAATTCAGAATACTCTCTAGTACAGCCAATACTAGAACACGGTATATGTTACTGTAGAGGCTCTGAGAGAGTACTAAATATGGGAGAGTTAAAAAGTGAGATCATAATTAAAGAATGTTGACTTCCTTTGAAAAGTGTTGGTATAGCTCCTAAATTAAGCAGCAGCAAGAAAAGCACATAGGCAAGGACCTAAGTTGCATTAAGTTCAAATCCCAGGACTGCTGATGTATTTGGGTAGAAAATGAAATGCAAGGCTGAGGAGTGTACCCATTAAAAAGAGGTTCTTAAACTCACATGGACTTTCTGCAAGTGTCTGTCTGTGTAGGGATGGACAGTCTTCTGGTGAAGACACTGATTAGAGGAACAAAGCTGGGACTTTCAGAGAGACATTCCCCACTCATTTCCCCACTTCCTGTAGACTGGGAGAAGAAAGTGGCCACCTTGCACAATCACACCCCTTCCACAGAGTTTGGAAGAGGCAGCACACGGTTCCAAAGATCTCAGTTTCTCCATGTGGGACAGCTACTGGGCACTACCCAGCCCTCCATCTTACCTCCTACCATTACTCCTGTGTGCAGCTCCACCACCAAGCAGTGCAAAGTAAGCACCATGACTTGTCCTCCCACCCCAGTTTAATTGGTCAAACCCTGCAGACCGGTGCATTCCCAGCCCCAAAACACGACGCTGAGAGCCCCAAAGCACGACGCTGAGAGCCTCCACCCGCTTGCCCTCAGCGCTCTCTTCAGTCAAGTTGCCCGGCTGGTGCCGGCAGAGGTTGCTCTCCGCAAATCAGGGGGACCACGGCTTTATCTTTTGTTAGTCCGCCTGCAAAGAGCCCACGACCTGCAATAAGGCAGATTAATTTCCTCTAGGAAAATGCAAAACTCTCCTCTCCCCACCACGCCACGAGCAACTAATCGCTTGCATATTTAAACATCCTTGCCTCGCTAAAATTTCATGATGGAGCCGGGGACAGAGCAAATGTCGGGGTGCATAACCAATGGCATTGTCAGTCGTGATTAATCAGCATCTCCGCCAGGCTGGTGCCCAATTAGAATTTACCATAATAAGGAGGTGACAGCCGGCGTTGCTAAGCGACCGCTGTCTATAGAGCTGGGAGAGCCAGACACATTTAGATGTTACTGTGGATTTCGACAGCGGCATGTCAAAACAACACAAGCGTCTGCCCAGTGGAAAATTTTACAGCCCAGCACTGGGCACAGGAGCGAGGCATGGCTCCCTTTCAGAGTAAAACATATAAAGGGATAGGTGTTTTTCTGTTGTAGTTTTGGTCTTCTCTTTATTTTTCCCCTTGAAAGAAGACTTTAACCAGTCAATCATTTATCTGCGTTTAATTAAGAGATATTGTGTCACTGGAATAGGACTTTGTTAGTGGGTAGTAGGTTCCCATGGCTAAGTAAATGCTGAGACATTTATAGGAAATTAGCAGCAGGTCAGCGTGGAGACATTTATTTTCAGTCAGAGGTATTTATCTGGCAATGACATTTTGTTCCAGTGACTTATTTTATTATATGAAAGGATTAAAGAATTAAGGGGGGGTGGGGAGAAGATGGAGAAATGAAAATAGACTGACAGCAGTTCCTGTGTTAACGTGAGAGCTGCTGACTCTGCAAATCACAGAAAGCTATGTCCCAACTGGGAGCAATAACCTTTCCCATACTTTAGCTTACTCCTAACATGGCAGGGAGGAGGAAGTTGTGAGGGTCCTTTTTGAGTTTGCTATGCTTTTATTGCAAACTGGTTTATATAAAGACAGAATATCAAATCAGAATATCTATTCTGATTTTCACCAGTCTATGACATGGACCACACTGTACATATAACTCCACTGCATGTGCTCTTCAGGTCTAAATAAACTGGTACAAAATAAGCTGGTTTTACCTGTCCTTAATATGGATGTATATAAAGCATATGTCTGCACAAAAGAAAATGATTATGTCTTATAAATTATGAAAGTAGCACGGTCTACACCTTACCTCTTTCAGTTTGGTATCGCTGAAGGCTGGGGTCAGGAGGCTCCGCACATACTTCCATCTGTCATCACGAAGACAAAGGATGCTGTCAAGCATTGGCTTGGAAATCAAGTTTGGCTTCTAAGTCGAAAGAAAACATAATTCAGTTTTAACACAAATGCAACTAGTGCTACTCAAGACTCTGAAGGTTGGAAAGATTGACCATGAATGGCGTTGCACTGCTGTCCCATGACAAGAGAGGTTCAAACCAATCTCAAGCACCAAACTAAACATGGATGAGGCTGAAGAAAATTTCTCTTTTGCTGAATGCATTTCCTCCTGGGCTTGTAAAAGCCCTGGGCCAGTCCAGTAACTTCTTGCCCAGATCGTTCTGGTTCTGCCATTCCTAGTGTTCTCCCATGGCTGCTAGTTCTCCTTTGCTGAACCCTGGCTTCTTTCCTCCCCTTCTAAGGTGACTAGCAAGAGGACCTGTCAACACTCCCTCTCCATGTGACATGAGTGCCAACGCATCGCACGCGGGTGTCGGTGGGGGACACGATTTCTGGTGACAGCTGGTATGTCAAACTGTTACATGCATTTTAAAAGTCTTCAGAAAATACGTTGATTAGAAAGCAAGTCCCAGGCCTTACTCTGTCTATAAGGAACACTCTCACTAAGAAGTTGAGGGGATAGAAGTTGGGACCCTTAAAGCTTCAGTAGTCAGTCAAACATACTAGTTTAAAGTACTGCCCCATGAAGTTCTGTACCAAGATGACGGCTATGGATTTGCTAAGTCCTAATCCCCCACAACCAACTAAGAAATCCCTATCCAGAGAACAGTGGTACTCATCAAGAAATAAAAGGATAAAAAAGATGGAAGAGGAAGCACGTCAGAAAATTATGCAATTGAGCCTGGAATAGGCATCAGAAGATGTCCAGCCCCAGAGCAGAATCTACCACAACATATATTATTGCCATAGGATGTTTCCCAATTGTTCTTGAAGACGTCCAACAATGGAGGTTCAATAACCTCTCCAGGTGAACTCTTCCAGTGTTTGACTACTCTTTCCATAGTAGCACCATCTCTCTTGCTGGAACTTATGGTCTTTAGTCTTTGTGCTGTCACAGGCACAGAAAACAGGTCATTCTCTCCCTCTTTCCAGCAGCCCATATGTACAGAAGGATATAATAACTACTAATTATACTGCTGCCATCTGCCCCAGATAACACCAATTCGCTCAATACATACTTATCAGTCATGTTATCTGGACCATTTGTTCAGCCTTGTTGCCGTCCCTCTGCATAATCTTGTTGATTTACATCCTTCTCAAGGTACAGTCCCTGTGAATTGACATGGTACTCCAAGCACAGATGAATTTTTTTTCATGGGCTCCCCAGGCTATACTTGTTTCTATTCACCCTGGAATATGCATACCACAGTATGATGGTGTCAACTCGTACTGACTTGTGGTTCCCTGCAAGTCTTGGACTTCCTTTCTGAATAATTACTCCCACAGAATTTATTCCCCAGCCTTTATCATTAAAGTTGGTTATTCCTAAGCGTCATATATAGAATATGTCATTGTTGAACTGTGACCATTCTTTTTACGATTACTTCTCCAACTAATCATGATCACTTTTAGTTGTGACCCTTTCTTGCACAGTGTCATTCATCCTTAACAACTTAGTGCGTTCCGCATGAATTGTTATCACACTCAGTGCCATCGTCTAACCCAATAACAAAAGTACACAACAGCACTTGCAAAGAAGCCATCCCTGGGATCCTCCCGGCTCATGCTTGCCTTCCAACAGTGGACTGTTCCCAAGCACTTTCCAAGTCACCTTGCATCAGTATTTCAGGTATTCTACAGCAATGTCCTCCAGACAAACCACCCTAAAGTTGGGGTCGGGGGGGTGGGAGGGGAGGTGGAAGGTGTACACTTTTGTAGATATCAGACTGCACAGAGACACTCATTTGGACATGTGAGATCTTCTGGCACCCAGGCCCCTGCCTACTTGCCCAGGGTAGCAGAGGCAGCATAGTCTCCCATGTTATCAGCAGCAGCAGTATACACTTTACTGGGAAAGACCCAAACAAACCAAAGACACTATGGCCTTCCCAATGCCATCTGTTGATCTTTTTCACTCTCTAACATTTTATTTCAGTCTTTCTTTCATTACTAATGTACATGAAAAATGAGTCCTTACCACCTGTTACACGCCTGGATACTTTAATCTCATTTTGTGCCTTGAGACTCACGATTTTAATTGTCCCTACATGCTAATTTTTTTTATCCTTGTTCTTGGAAACCTGACCTAATTCCCACTCTGTAAAAAACATTCTCTTCAGGGGCCATGAAGAGCTTACAGTTTAGCTACACTGGTCTTCTACTGCACTTCCTTAACTTTCCTCCTTATTGGAAGTTTGCACTTAATATCTTTTCTTTAAGGAGCTGCCAGCTCTCCTTAACACCTTTTTCCTTTACACTTGCCAGAATCTCACCACACTGCATAAGCTTGTAAAATGCAGAAGCCTATTTTATACTGCAAATAGGCTAATGGGATAGTTTTACTTCTCAGCAACACCATCCAGTGCAGTAAACGAATGTCACTCGGCTGACACTACAGACCAGTTTTGAGCAAAGATGAGCTGTTTTCAAGTAGAAGAGTGAATATCAGCATATTATGCTCGAGGAAGAGACTGACTCAGGTACTCTCATCAGATGACTACAGTAAGATAAAATATGGGCACATTTTAAAGTTATACTTAGACTGTCCTATTTCATGCACTAACAGGGAAAACTTGGGACACGCTGTCAAAGCTGAAGTGGATTGGACTGTTTTCTCTGGGTATCCTCTTTAAATAAATGATCAGTTTTCTAACTTCTCAGCAGGTATCTGTCCTGAGAATCAGTAGTGCAGCTACAGAGACCATCAGTCACTGGAGCATTGCTTCATTTCATTTCATATCATTACTGATATTCAAAGGCATAGTAGAATAGGACAAAAGAGGGTCTGGACAACTGGAAATGAGGATCATCCTTGAATAAAGTACTGTATGCTAGCCTCTGCTCCACAGTTCTTGTGTGCTGCTAGAGAAGCCCTTTACACTAAATCTTGAGCTGGTCATCAAATAAGTATTCCTTATATCTTTGGTCTTCAGTTTCAAGTACTAAGGCCCAGATTGCAGAGGTCCTGAGCACTAATGCCACTGAAATCAACAACAGGGAAGGTGTCTTGATCACAGAAAATGAATTATTCCAAGAAATTGGGTCATTGAATGGGGTCCCCAAATTAGCAAATATTCTCAGAGCTGTGCTTCAACCACCAACCTTCACTCTTGATTTATAAAGTGGAGATATCACATCACCTCCTCAGAACTGTTAATGATACATTAGCATTTCTGAGGCACTCAGAAACTACAGAAAAAGAGCAGAATCATCTTTCCCACAAAGAAATGACCAATTTTGTCTTCCAAGCAAGGTTTGAACAGTGTTCAGAAAAGACAAAAAAGGAAAAAATTACAGAGCAACACTTGGAAAAGTATTTTGTATCCACTCTTAAATTGAAGGCTGCCCAATCTGTGCAGTCTATAAGATAAATCTCCTCTGGAAGGCAAGGCTCCACTTAGATAATAACAGATGTGATATAAATCTGACTGCATTTGCCTTGAAAGCAGAACTCCTTCCTAAAACCAAACATTCACCCTAAAAAATGCTCCTACTGGCATAAAGACTGCATATAGCTCATTTACAGAGAGAGGCCCAGTTACTGAACAAAAAGTCCATTAACTCTAATGATAAAACTGCAATGGTAACCATACCATTGCCTTTTTAGCACTCTATCTTATATCAATAATGATCCCTTAACATATTTTGGTTTGTCTACTATTATATACATATAAATGCTGCAAGGAAGGAAAGACAATTTTGGCCATAAATTTTTTTACTCTGTCTCTTTAAGCTGGATACAAAAAACATGTTTGTGTTTATTGGAATAGTATCAGCATGACTGACAGCATATAGCAGATGTCATTTATCACGTTTTCCTTATCATTTTGCAAACACTTTCCTCCTAATTGCATAACCTATGTTACAGGTTCACGTTGCAGGAATGAAAACGGATTTGGTATGAGAATGAGCCTGCAGTGTCTTAGTGAAAGATGAAGTGTCACCTCTCTCTGAATGGACCAAGTACTAGCTGTGCCTGAGAATTCTTGAGCCTATAAAAATCACTTAAAAAATTACCATGGGAGACAGCTTTCATATTTTCAGGAGTGGGATTTTGTTTTTTTAGGTGGGGAAGGAGGTTGCTTTTAAGTCAAATGCAATCAGACTCATATTCCATCTAGCATCATCTAGGTACTCGACAACTGCTCTGCGCTTCCTTCTCTTGTGTAATCAACCATTTCTGACCGCAGTACAGTAATGCTGCATGAAATCTACTGGCAGCATGGCAATCTGCTGCAGCATACCTGCAAGTGCTACTGAGTTCCCACAATCACAGACAAGCCATCAGAAACAACAAAGAAAATTGCTTCCAAACAAATCTTTTAAAACACCAGTGCTTTTAAAACAGAAAACAAAATAATGTTTGCAAATGAGTAGCATCTCTGAACCTGATGCAAGAATTCCCTCCCTTTTAAGCTGTTCCTTCGGCTGACCCTTCAGACCCAGTTATCAGCTTGTTTGTCCCTGAGTCAATTTGGCTTGCTGTATACTACTGAATAATTCAGGGAAGTGACTCTTCTCTGGCTCTGAGGCCAAGTGGTACAGAACACCTCCTGTCCCTGAGGTTACATCACTTTCCCAAAGAGAACGGCCATACCCAAACTCTTTATGGTACATGTTCACCTCCTGAACTGTGCCCAGACCGTGCCTGAGGGATCGATACAGGGCAAAACCATGCTAAGAAGCATATCAATATAGACATCTGTAGGACCTACTCATGCACTAATATCCTGTCTCTGGGTTGGAACTAGATGATCTTTAAGGTCCATCCAACCCAAACCATTCTGTGATAACTGTAGCTTTGTGGGATTCATAAGTCATTTGCTCCTTCCATGAGTTTGTCACTAGCAGGCTAGGCTGAACCTCTGGCAGTCAGCAATCACTGCCTGAAGCAGGAGGAAGGGTAATAGC